CCATGTTTAGCACCTTCATAAATCTATTTGATTGTCCTCGCCGCCATGCACGCTCACACCGCACACTCAACATTAAATCTTGTCATCGTCTCCAGATTTAGTCAGAAGATTTTATTTTCGCCATACTCCAATCCCATTTTTCTGCACCATCACATCATCGATATAAATCAATGTGCGAAACGAAAGTGTAGAGTTCGCGCACGAGACTCAAGTGGAACAACATCGAATGAACATTTTTACCGCAGTTCGAAATTCAAGTGTATAAATCACTGTGTAATAATCGCACTCGAGACTCACGTGAAGTGAAACAACAATTTTTCATCAGTCATAAATTTTTAGTGTGATAGGCCTTGCTAATCGTGCCACGACTGTTGACAGCCAAAAATTTATAATACCTGCTAGACACTTTATACAATGACTAATTGTCATAATTTTTGTTATGATTTCATCATTTTTTTCTACATCGGCATGATAACAGCGGAAACTAATCATCGCACACATCACCCAGCTGAAGATGATGAAAGATTTGATGTGTCATCAGCTCAATTTCGGAAAAATATACTCAAATCGTTTGATTGATCAACCGATCGATCTATGAACATATAGACCCAATGAAAGGTTGTTCTGATGATCGATTTTATCGAGTGTAAAATCTGTCCCACAGAGAACGTTCAAAATGGCTCTAAAATAAGTTCTCATTTGTTTGAAAGTTCGCTTTGCGGGTAAAAACTCTGCAATGGGGGAGAGGGTAAATTTACAATTTTTTTTTTTCAAGAAAGGTTAATTCTTGGAAATCCTTAGAATTCTGTGCTGGAATTTTACGACACTTTTGCCGAATCCGGATTGGATCCGGAAAACAATGGAATCCATTCTTCTTGAATTATCTTCCAACTTACGCATGGCATGATTGGTTCTTCTTTCATATTTGCCAAATATATTCTCAACTAATTGTTTTAGCTGTAATTATTCTGTCGACTCTATATGTTACCCAATATATTCGGCAAATATGCCAACCAATCATGCCAAGTTGGAAAATAATTCAAGAAGAATGGATTCCATTGTTTATTTTTTGTGACAAGATTCCGATTCAGATTCGGATTCGGCAAAATTGTCGCAGAATTCCAGCACTGGTCGGAAAATATGTCATTGAATCGTTCGAAACTGATCGATGGCAGCCGTCGGCTGGCTATCACTTGATAAAACCGTCTCAAAAATGACTAACAAAATCAATATTCTCGTTTCTTTCGAATACTAATCAATAATATGTTTGGTCCTAAAATAGTTGTTATATGGACTGGTCAAATGAACTGCTGTAAAATATGTATATATTGTATATGATTCTATCTTTAACTTGAATAAGTAAATAAAAAAACATTAAAAAAAATCACACATGTCTCAACCATATATTCATAAATGTTCAAATCTATATGTATATGGACGGAAATTTTTTGATCGAAAAGATGAGAAAAAAAAACGCGCTGATATTAAATCAAATCTCGAGAGATTGAAGAATAATCGTCTTTTTTCGTGTTGGTGCGTATAAATTCGCTTATTGAACCAATTTGCACATTTGTTATGTACTTTTTACGGGTTCTTGTCCATTCAGATGCCGTACCACATTGACTGCCGCAAAATGTTTCCTATACTAATTTCGATTCGGCGCCGATTTGTGGTTTGTATGACGTGTTCACACAGCCCACCGATAACTTTGTTGTGAAGTACAATATTTGATAATATAGAAGTTAAATCATCCACAGTTTTCTAGACTCAATCATGTCATATTATGACTAAATTTTGAACCTTGACCGCAACAATCTGTTTCGCAGGAAACGACAACAATTCCAAATAACATCTATTTTTCCCGCAATGGGATATATTATTATATTTATATCGGTCTGCAGCTGGATCACGTGAACATGAACTGAAACAACGAATGTATTTTGTTGTTCTTGATGAAATTCTAAATATAGGTTGAATTTCTCCGCTGAATAATTCTCTGAATTAGATTTTAAAATACGTGACTTGTTTCCTGAGAAGGAAATGCCGCAATTGTTCACGTGTTTATGTTAAAAAAAAAAAATATATTATCAACCATCATTATCTTCTCTCTTCGAAAACCATACCGTTTATTGGTTGTTCACGATGATGACTCGATTTGTGTGCCTCATTCTGAGTTCCTAACACACAAATTGGCTGCGTCGCAGATCGTGTTTCTGTCATGCTGAAACAATATTTCGCGCAATCGGTATATTTAAAGCCACTTGCAGTTGTTTCATTCATTTATCACTTTGCGAACGCATGTTATTGTTGTTGTTCTTCTTTTTCGAGTGATGTGATCGCGATATTACTTGTTTTCTCGTCTCTCTATTCGCCCGACATACATCGAACGCATGTGCGGTGGTCGCGTGACATACGATTCATATATGCGGTTGAAAAAATTCTACGATGTAAGTCTCAGAGCAAAGTAATAAAATGAATCTCATTTTTTGAACACAATGTTTCGCATTTTAATGCACTATAAAACCTTCACGTGAATTAGGCGAGAATTGATAAAGAACAGAGGTAAAAGAAGGTAAAAAGGCAATAAAAATGAATGAATGAAGGAGCAGGAATAAAAAGTTGTAAAATTTGAATAAAGACAATGGCAACAGTCATAAATGACGGTATGAAGCAAATTGAAGTATTTAAGGAAAATAAAAAGAAAACAGGATATTTAATTGTAATTTCAAATCACTAGTTCATGCACGTGACTTGTGGAATAGTTGAATTTGTTTTGTTATCATTTCAAGGACAATTTTTCGCAGAAAGCAACTTACTAAACAAGATAAGCAAATTAAATATCTATTATTAAGGTATGAATCAAAAATATTGTACCTAAGTTTTGCCGCTTGGTATTCAATTGTGGCGCATTGTTCGGAATTGCTTGGTAGCATATATGAATTCAACGGACGATAATGCAATCATTATGCCGATAAGGGGTAAAATTTAGTGAGAATGACGCAGACAAAAAATTCAAGTAAATCTGTAACACGGATGATCCACGGCAATTTTACGGGCCCCTTTAGGCGAAGTTGAAGTGGAAAAAATTACATTGTAATTGACCCGGTGGACGTGTGTGCACGTTGTTTAAGCATGATTGTTGCCAATCTGGATAACAGTGCTTTGCCCATGCTTTCAATTGCCCACTATATAATGAAATAACTATCGTTTAGTGCGCGCCTGAACTATTCATTAAAAATGATTGCAATTGTAATTGTCTGCCAATGCAATTAGTGTTTTTGTTGTTGTTGTTGTTGTTGATTTCCATTTTCCATCTCCATTCGATTATCGCTTTGTTGCCGTATGTTATTGTTTGCGATTGTTCTTCTTTTGTCTCGGTAATTGCGGTTATGTCTGATTCCATTGGTGGTAGCAGTGTGTATGTGTGTGTGCAAAGCATATAAAATATGTCTTCATTTCAATTTCACCCAGACAGATCGCGAAAAGAGTCAGATATATTCTGAATGTAGATCGTGTGCGCACGATCTGACAAGCACGTGAATGCATTTCAAGTTTCGATGATTGTTCAGTTTTTGTACTGCATTGAGTCAGTTGATCGCGCGCGCGCGTCCCAAAGATTTTATAAGCCATACGGAAATAGAACGTTTTGTATGAGGCCGCAGTGCCCGACTTAAATGAAAACTACTATGTATTGGCTGGCTGGCGCGAATTGAAATTTAGTTTGTGGTTGTGGTCGTCATCGCCGTTGTCGTCGTCGGCGGTGGCAAGTCGATCACACTGTCATACACAATGTACGCAGAGTTGAGCTGAAAGCGCGCGCAAACGGTTTGAGCCACGGTTGAGGAACGCCGCATTACAAAAAAAAAAATAAGAAAACAAATCGAAAAGAGAATGAGAGGAAAAGAAATATCTGTATAGATTCGTTCTCTGCTCGATTCGCTTGTTTGTTCGATATGATAGACATCAAACGCAGAGCGTTCTTCAATAGCCGCTTTTATCAGTTGGCCTCGCATTTTTATTTCGTATCATTTCCACTTCTTCTTTTTCTTAATGGCTGTTAGTCACATAAAGATTCCATGTTTGCCCCACTTCATTGGTACCACGTGTACATAAGGGGTTTTATGCGCATCAGCCCAATGTCTTTTAATCTCTATCAATTTGACAGAGTTAAACTATGCGACCTAATAAGGCGTTTCGCCAAAAATGGCCTATTTTTTAAAATTCGTGATGTACACCAAACCAAAAAAAAAAAAAATAATAAAAAAACAGTTCTCACTCACTCAAGTACTTCAATGTCATACTTTTTATACATCGGGCCATCAGTTCAGTGGTGCGTTTATTACATTCGCTAAAAATAGGCTGTTTTTTGGCATTTATTCATCAAACACTTGATTCAATCAAATACACAAAGCAGCAATAGCGTCGCAGCGTGAATAGCTTATGCCTTATTTCTGAAACGAGTATTCCTTTCTTTCTAACTTACTTTTTCTCTTGTCAAACGAGAAGAAAAGAGAAAAGAAAGAGCAGCAACAACAACTCATACACATATATATGAACGAGAGCCCATCAATCACAATAAACTTAATATATATGTACAAAAGAGAAATACTCATCATCACAGCAGCAGCAACAGCAACCGACCGAATGTCAAACGCTTTAAGCGACTATTTAACCGCAAATCCACCTATAGTCACTTTTTAGCACAAAACTATCTCGAGGGAAGTTATGATAAAAACAACAGCGGAATACTTCGTATACTGATTCATGTATTCGGTTGGAACTCGATTGACCGAAGCGCCATCTAAAGAGCCGATGGCGAGTTCGTGATGTCTATATGTTATACTTCAGTATGACGTTTGACAGAACGGAGAGTTTACTTGATTGTATTGTCATTAGCCTTAGATTATCTAGGTGGTGTTTGCGCTCAATATCAGTTGTCAAATTCAAAGTGAATAGGAGAGTTGAATAAAAACGTGCAATTCTCATCGTAAGAATGGAGATGAAAAAGGAATATTCATGCACACGTTGACGTTCACTTCATGAATGGAATTAAGATAAGCGCACAATTTCGACGATATACATCGATGGTGCGCGCGTTGAACAATACATTCCGTCAATATTTTTGGAATTCGTTTTGCGAAGCTATTTTGATTGCGGCGACAACGATCTCCGGCGATTTTTTTATCGAATGTGAAAGAGATAGAGAGTGACGACCACCGCGATAGTCTCGATCATTAAACGTCAAACCAACAACGCCACACATTTTGACGGGAACTACATTGATGAGTGTATTCAATGCAGTATCAAACATAGTCGTCATTGTGTTGTGTAGTGAAATAATAATAATTATTTGAATTTTAAATAAATAAAAATGTTTCGATTCTGTCAAATAAAATTGTGCAAATATGCCGCTGGCACACAAGACGAAAAAATTGCTTTCTTTCGGTAGATTAAACCCGTATTTAAAAAAAATTGTTTTTCTTTCATTTTCAATTGAGTTGTATGAGAGAAAATTACGGTTTTATATGATATATTGGAGTTTCCATAATTAAAAAAAAACACAAAATGTTAGATTCAAAATGGAAACTGGTTCGTGGCAGAATTGTTTTTTTTTTTTAATTTTGCGGACCATACTGAGAAAACGCTTGCGTTCGAATAGAAAACTACACTGAAACAGAAGTCGATTTGACATTAGCTGTCAAACCGGCAAGATGAACAAGTGCATTTGTTAAGTGAGCGCGTTCACTCCGTGTCAGCAGGTTTTGGACGAATTTCATTTTGCAAATGATGTTGTTGTTAGTGTAATGATACCCCCGCGGTGACGACAATCGGATCAAACGAATAAAAGCGATATTCAATTGCAATCGAAAATGCTGTATTGAGCGATTTTTCAGAACAAACATCTAAATTCATCAATCAGTTGATGATAAGATATAATTTCATGAATGATAGAATAAGTGTCTGTCAATTGAAGAAGGGACACACGCAAATATTCAAACTTCATTTCTTTGCTGTCGATAAACAATCAGCGCCGTCGGTTTCAATGCGAACAATTTGCATGTTAATATTGTGTGTGATTTGTGAAAAGAATGGTTCAAAGCAATCGCACGTTTTTGTTTGATTCGTGAGTTCCGATGATTAAAAATAGATAAAAGCCCTCTGGTTAAGTTGCATTTGCGTCACGTGAAATTATCTGCGCGCTATGCACCACACTAGTTATTGCTTTGCCCATGTATGTGTGTATGTGTGTGCATGAGTGTGTACGCCGTTTCGTCCGAGGGCAAGGAAGAAAATAGAAATCTAGCGCAAATGTTGTTTTTAATAATGATTGACTAAATTAAAAGGCGCGCGCACTTCTTATTCTCGGCCAATGTGACCCGAGATCTATTGATCATCCTCACATCATCAAATAGCAATATTGATTGGAACAATCAATTTAAAAAGTGCCAAATCTAATTCATATTCATTGCTAATGCGATCTGATTTCGTTAAATGAACTTCACAGCGACGACGGTGGTTTCGTGATGATAACGTGTAAATTGGCTCGTTTGTCAAAGTCCAAACGCAAATTTTTAATGATTTTGCTGACGTTTTTCTTTCTCCTTCTCGTCAATCGTTTCTCTCTCTCTCTCTCTCTCTCTCTCTCTCTCCCGCAAACCAAATTGTGTGACTCAAATCAAATTCTAAAAACGATTTGACAACGAAATGCGATTTCAACAATTGTTTTCGTTTCTCTGCTTGCGGGAATTGATTAAGAGCTTTTTGCCGAGCGCGCTCGCTTGCATAGAACTAAAAATATTCCGTTTCGACATCAGCATTTATTTTTAAGCCGAAAAAAGTAGCGAACATTGAAAAAAGAGTCGTGGCTTTCGATTTAATCAAGCCAGGAAATTTGAAATAAGTCCAAGTTGAGCGAATTCTTTGCGCGAAATAATCACATTTTGACGCAACACATCAAATGACAAGCGAGTTGTTTTTCTTTCGCTCTTTTTTCGTTTTCGTTTTGCTCTCGTCTCTCTCCTCTGTTTCGCTCGAACATTCGTAGGCCCGCTCATCGTTGTATATCGTGGATACGAAATTCTATCGTGCATGAGGTTTATCTTTGATATTCACGCTATCCGACGCATTTTAACTGCTTTGTCGCACGAGTTGATTGTTAACCAAATTGTAACGTTCCAATCGTTTCAAATGAATATTTGAGGGCTACAAGTTGACAGACGGGAATGTTACCGAGTGTTGATGATGATATGTTTGGCTGAGCGACCGTATGGCTTCGTTCATCAACATCGTATTGCTTTAAGTCTCTTTCACTTTATCGAATGGTGCAATTGGCAATAGCATTATCAATTTGACAAAGAGCGACAGAGGCAGAGAGCGAAATGGAAGAGAGACAGCGAAAAATTAGTCCAAAAATAAAAACGGAACATACGTAAATGAGAAACGAACACACAGAGAGAGAAAGAGAGAGAGTGCAAGAAATGGAATCGAGAAAAGAGAGAATTCCATCACACAAACACACATCTCAGTTGCGCCGGGCCTTAATACCTCGTGCTACGTTTTGAAGCGCCCGCGACATACAGTGCCGTTCTCGAGCACAATAGTTCTGTAAATATTTACGATTAATGTAAAGTATACGGTGCTAGGCCTCACACTATCGACGCAAATGAGAGAGAAAGGGAGAGAAAGAGAGAGAGAGAGAGTGCGGAGCTGAGAACTCGCGCACGCAACAGAGTGGCATATGTGTATGATGAGCACATGGAAGCACACATGCGGCACGCGAATATTTTGCTATATTTTTCTGTATTGATGATATGAGAACGGGCCAACACACACATATGTTCAGCTCGCTCTCATTCGGTTCGACTTCTTACTCTGACAAAAGTGAGCAAAATGAAGATTGAACTGAAATGGAATCGTATGGCACAGAAGAAATGTGAAGTTCCTATGTGAATTTGCCTTTAGAAATAACGAAAAACTATTGAATTTGTTAAGCCGCCATGTCATTCGCTTATCGTGCGATTGTATCCTTACACAATTGAAAAACCGCATCGCATCATCGATGATAAAATAGAAACAGAACACACAACACACATTTGAACGAGAATCAACTGAAGCTCTGACTTGTTGAATTGCTCTCTCTCTCTCTCCGTCTCTCTTTTATGTTATAAATATGAATGTGGCAATTCACACAGATATGTTGATGAGCAACAGACTGAACGATGTGCGATAGCGGGAGGGAAAGAGAGTCAGAACGAAACTGAACTGAACGATTTAAATGAAATACACGAAAAAAAATATCTGCACATGTTGTGGCTGTGATCGTTCTCATTTATATCCAAGTTTTTTTTTAAGTGTTCTGTTTGTTTTATATCGGTTATGGGTATGTGTGGGGTCTGTCGTAATGCGAGCATGCGATACAGAGTACGAAAGAGAAAAATGCATCGAGTGAACGGAAAGAGTGAATGAGTGAGAGACACATACACACACACACAGAGAGAGAGAGAGAGAGAGAGAGAATGAGAGAGCTGTCGTTCGTGTACACGGACTACAACAGCGATAACAATCGAAGCAAACGATTCCGATTCTATCCGCGTGCGATTGCTCGCGTAACAACAACAAACCAGTGTAACCATCTCACCAACAAACCGACAACAGCGATTTATTCTGACAATACCCTCACTCGACACTCCACGGAACCATTCAATATTTATTCAAAGTGTGAATCGCAATCAAAGCACCAGGCAGACAAAGCTACAGCCCGGGATACGGCTCAAAGTGTTCGACAAAGTTTATTTTCTTTGATTAACATCTTTATAAAATTAACTTCATTTTTTTTCTATCCAATGTCCAATCAACAACAACCGAAAAATTTTGTTTGCAAAAATTGTGAATTTTAAAAGAGAGTTTAACAGAAGAAAAAAATCAATATTCTGTAAACAAAGTGTTTTCAAAAGAAAAAAAAAAATAATCGAGTCATTGCTAAAATATAGTGTGTCATGCAAATAGTCAAGTGCACTTCGGGAATCAACACGGATCCGAGTTTCGTCAATCAATTGAAAGCAAATTGAAATTTCATAGAAAAATAGAAAAGAGAGGCTGTTCAAAAGTTTAAAAGCGGAAGTTAAACAAAAACAAATTATTGCATCTATCGTGGCAATTCGGTGCATCAGGCCAGAAAGTCTAAAGTAAAAGGATCTTGTGATCCACCTGATCGTTACGTGTTCGCTTCAATCCGACGAATAATAGAGACAAGTGTGAGCAAATACCAATTAAAAGCAAAATTTCATCTATTTCATTCTCGTAACGATCTAACCCTGAAAAGTGGCACCAGAACATATTTCAACGCGAAAAAAATCGAGTGAATACAGAAATCAGATTTAATCATATTTTTTCTGACAATCCAAAGAGAAAAAGAGACAGTTCAGAGGGGATATTCTCTGAATGACACTCACAAGCCATCAATAGGAAGAGCCAAAACGTATAACGAGAAGAAAGAGAGAAGCGAAGAAAAAAATCGAACACACGTTTTTTTTTTCTTTTCCTTAGTTGTTTCAATTTTATCGCGCTCACTGCCGATTTGGTTTCGGTGTGTTTGGGTGCGTGTGGTGTAGATTACAGCATGTCTACGGTCTGTTGAGAGAAGAAGAAAAACGCAAACACAAAATAGCGGTGCGCATACTTTATTCGTCCGTGTGTACATGCGACACACGTTCTTCACCGAAAAACTTTATTATTAGTACAAATTCGAAATAATCCACAGAGTAAAAGAGAAAGACAGATGCACCGATCGTGTTTGTGTATGAAAGAAAGAGACACACACAAACGAGAACGCTGAGTAGAAAAAAAATTGAACGGAGAGAAGAAAAAAAATTCAAATAACGAAACGTAAACTGTTTCACACAGAAAAATATGCAGCCGAAATCAAAACGAGTGTAAAGTAATAAATACACACAGAGAAAATAAATATATAATACACGCTGAGTGAAGAGAGCGACTGGGCGAGAAAAAGAGACAACGAAACGCTTTCGATAGAACGAAGCGAACAAGTATTCGGCGGTTCGGAATAGATTCAACAAAGCGTTCGAGAGAGAAAAAAAAGCAACAACAAAAAAATAACACGGACGACAATTTTCGTGTTAGAACTAGTGTGAAGAAATCAACAGTCAACGGCTATTACGAGAATTAATATTCGCTATTTTCCATTGTTTCCCTTTAATATTGATTACGGATAACAGCTGCGGCCAACGAAAAAAAGAGAGAGCGACAACAGAAACACTTTCGTTAGTTTCAGTCGATACGCTGTGAAAAGGGTGACAGCTCTCAGCTATACTAATATTCCAAGACGGAAATCGATAAAAAACAACGCAAAATATTCCGGGAGAATTACAGGCATTTGTTCAGCCGATTGAAGTCCTTCAGCAAAACGAAGAAGAAAAAAAAACCATACACACAACAATTGTGTCTAAACAGCAGCAACCAGTGAAACGAAAACACTAACCAACAAAAATTTCAACAAACGACACATAAAAAAAACCGCGCATACACTCACACACTCACACACATACAAACGAAGAAAAGAGAGTGAGAGACGTGTATACACCGACGAACACCAACGAGAACGTCATTCATTAGAGCCGAAGGCACATGCATTCGTCGTGAGACCGTCGCCAGTGTAGTTGATACAGTTTTGTTATGGTTTTAACGTAAATAACCCGTGTGGAGACAGTCGCATAAAATTGCAACACCAAATTAAACTGTTGAATTTCACAAAGAGACGCGCATCGGGCGCACACACTAAATTCAACGAAATATTATTTAAAAACAAAAATTATACACATACAAAATAACAAACACATATTTAAATTAAAAGAAGAAAAATAAACGGGTGAAAAACGAAGTCGAATTCCAAGTTAGCGCACGCGAGCGAAAGGATACACGGAAATAAATAAATAAAAGAAACGGATTTTTAAATAATAATTTATAATTTATTTTTTTAAAAAACGTCGAAAGAGTATATATTGTATTTTAAGTGACAGCTGGTAATGGACAGAAGATGAGACATGTTTTGGCATAAAAGCGTCCGCAAAAAGATTAAAAAACGCGCCTAAGTTTTTGTGTTTAACACGATTTGTTTGCTGCGAACGAGCTGAAGCGAGATTTTTTTCTCGAAAATAACTTACGCACTTGCCACAGTTTTTCCACTGCGAAGAACATATGACACACAAGCACACACAATTACCAACGCAACTCTAAGCTATAATCATCGAACGCATAGAAAATTCCCATTGAATTGTGTCATAATCAAGTACGAAAATCGTCTGGTGTGTCAAAGTGCCGGTTCACTCAAATGCGCGAACAATCAATAATCAGAATTATACAAATTATCGTAAAAGGGCGTGCAATCGATCTGTGATTTTGTTGATTTTTCTTTGTTTTTTTTTTTGTAATTATTTTTGTTTTGTTGTTATTTGTTATAAAAGTAATTTTTTGTTTATTCGACGGTTAAAAAAGAGAATTATCGTCTTTAAGTCAGCGACACATTTTTGTTGTTCAAGAAATGGTAAATATCTTTCAATCAAATGAAAACAAAAACTCATTCGAAATTTGTTTCGTTTTTTTTTTTTTCGAATGAAAATTTAGAAAAATCATAAACGATTGCGAACGACGGCACTTTATAAACGATAAAAAAGTGAAAGTTTCTAACTAAAGCACACACACTCTCTCTCTCCCTCTCTGTGTCTTTTCAGAATTATTCTTTCGATTTTTGAAACCATCAACGTTGTTTTATAGAAACGAAACGATACCAGAAATTGAATTAGATAAAACGAACACTAGACAATCAAATTGATTTTTAGTGATTTTCGGATTTAGAAAAAGATCAAAATCGAAAAAACCACTATTTTTTTTTAACGAGATCAAAGCTAAGACAAAGTTGAACAATACCCTTTTAAAAGAAAAAAAAAAACTTTGAAGAAAGAAAGAAATCAAATCCATCCTTACAATGCGGATCAGCGAAGAGAATCGTCGCCGAAACGGGCATGTGCTTATTTGGGATCAACCAGAATTGTCGCTCGACGACAAAAAGAGTAAAAGTAAGAATTTCTACACATTTTTAACAAGTAACACTTTTATATTCGTTCCATTCGTGATTCAAATCGTTTTTCGGTATCATAATCCATACATGTGCTAACATGGTAATCTATTCGATACTGAATTATGGTTTTACTGCGTGTGCTCTAACATGACATTTTTTTTTGCACACATATTTGTGATGAATTGTTGTGATTGCGTTGAGAATGTGTCAAAATCGGTGAAATACTCAAGTGTATATAAATAAGAGACTTAGACGTTGACTCGATCTTAGTGGAAATATCTGGAATGAAATTTATTATCAGTTTAAATGTGTTTAAAAACCGTTTTTATGTCTTTTGAAACTCATGATCAGCTCAAAATTATGCTCTATTTTCAATCCAAATCCCAAGTTGGACAGGGTAAATGAAATCAAAAAGGGGGAAAAAAAATCCAAATTAACCTTTGTTTGTGCCATTCAAATCATTGTTCTAATCCAATTTGAAAATCAACCAAGAAAGAAGAGCCAGCATTAAATGGTGTAATCTGTATTTGTCGTCAAGTTTGTTCTTTCTGCACACAGAATTGTGTCAATATTCACATTTACGGAAAGATATCAAACACTAAATCTGTGATTTTTGTTCGCACTTTTTGTGATTTTTCTTCTGTATGTCGGTAAATTCTCAAGAGTCGATGTGATGCAAAACAACGAGCCATTGGTTTGTAATACCAAAATTCCATTTCGTTCTACAATATTTGTTAAACGTGCGCGCACATCTTTGATCTATTTTCCACCGCAAAGAAGCGGGCGATAAAGAGATATCACGAGAGGTGTGAATGAACTTTTGACAAATATATGTTTGCAGATCATTTTTATATATACGTTACGGTGACCGGTCATAACTTCCCTCATACAAAATGAATGGAGAATTTATGACCGAAATGACGGAGAAAATAATTCCATTTCCAATTTGGACATAACTTCCCCATCGAAAAAATTTTGATTAGAGAAAATATGTCCGAATATCAGAAGAATTTATATCCAAATGCACAGAGAAAAATGAGGCTACGTTCAACACCACAGAACATTGCAAAGTGTCAAAATGCAACAGTATTTGTGAAAATCATAACAAATGTTCAGATTAGTATTTGTATGGAACGCACCCAAATTCGTACTATATTGACAGCCAAACATTTGTTGCGATTTTCACAAATACTGTTGTAAAATGCCAAAATTATGTTTTTGTATTGGTGAAACCATGTTGGATTTCTCTCTGTGTGCATATGGACATATTTTCCCGGGGAAATTATTATCAAAAATGCTGTGAAATTATTTCCAAATAAAAATGGACATAATTTTCCCACGTATTTTTCACCGAATAATTGCTGTAGGTACATAAATAATGAAATTAGCGTCACTTGAAGCGTGATTATTGAATCTAAAAAAATTTGGCCCAAAATATTTGTTTGTTTTTGTTTTATTTGTTCACCGCTTTTTTGTTTACAACTTATTTTTATTTTTCCATTTTATTTATTCACAGCCAAGCAAAAAATTTAAAAAAAGTTTATAAAAAGATAAAGAAATTGCCTAAAAGGCCGTCAAACTGTCAATAGTTCAAATAGCCTTTTGTAAACGTGTAAAGAATTAAGGCCATTAGAAGAATTTGGCATTGCAACGACGGCATAACGACTATAACGACATTTGATTTATTGCATACAAAAATGAAAAGTTTTTCGTCTAAATCTAAACAAATCCCTTGCGTGTTGCGTTTACTCCAACCGACCCAAAATTCCAAGAATTCTGGGCTAATCATCACATTTCTCATTCTCCTTCTCTTCTTCAATGTACCGATGTCCGAATGGTTTATGCATATAACATTGGAGATGATAATTCCATTTCAGATTTGGACATAACATCGCAACATATTTTTATGAATGAATCTCATCGAATTTGTCGATATTCACACGAATAAATGTTATAAGTTTCAAAATTGTTCGATTACATATGATTCCCCAATTTGGCATGATCGAATTTTTTTTATTGCTCTCGAAACAGGAATTGAATCTGGAGGCTAAATGATTATGATTATAAGATTTTATGATGATTTTGTGAAGTGTGATATTCAATTTGATGTGTGACGCAATACCTGAAAAAAAAAAAAATACTGACCGTTGGTTATGCGATGTTTATAGAACAGAATTTGATACAAAATCAACATTTTATCGGTTGGAACGTGCGAGAGAGCTACACTTCGTTTTAAAACAAACTACATACGAGTGATATAATAGATAGGTGATACACACACAGTCACCGTCGTCGCGCTACAGTTTGCCTATATATTTTTAGTACGCCACGTGATGCTGACTCCCCTGAAACCACAGTAAAAATAACACGAGTTTCCCTTCTTGCTCTCTCTCTCTCTTTCTCTCTCTCTCTCTCTGTGTGTCTGTCTGACTGACACTCTTAGCGTTAACTTCTAACATTCAGTGATAATGCGAGTGAGGTTTGACTTTTCGGTGTGCGCGTGAAATCATATTTTTGTTGTTGTTTTGTTTTCGTGAATAATTATATCGAATTCAATTCGAGGAAAGGAATACGTTTGTGATGCAGTTTGTCGTCACCTGAACTGCATTGCAAATATCACGATTGACTTTCGAATTAATCGGTATATAGTCGTCGTCGCACGCGCGATAAAACACAAATAAAAGGCAAAGGCGGCCAGAAGCAAAGGAAAAAAAAACGACGCAAAATTACGAGAACCTAATGGGACTTCCCTATCGAAAGAATTGTTGAGTTTGTTGTTTTCTTCTTCTTCTTTGCTTTTGCATTTCGTTTTGCTAGCAGATTTGATCTAAATTGTGGTGTACTTGAACTTCGCGTGTTCAGGTAAACGATTAGCGACTCGTTTTGTTCCCTTGCTATTTGTTCACGTCAAAGTACATTGTTTTTGAAGGAATGATCGACGTGTGATAGGTTCATTAAATCTCATATTAATTAAAAAATTTGCAACAAATTATTTTCAATTAATTGGTCTCTCCTTTTGTACTGCATCTTGGAATGGAAAACGGTTGCTCTTTTTGTATTTTCAAGTGAAAAAAAATTTGCATTCGTACTCACCAAAATAAATGATTCTAAATGTGTATAGATTGAAGCGACAAAAAAAGTGTTTCTAAAAACAACCCCCGATAATGAGAAACGAAACTATTTTTAGCTGCTGCACTCTTTTCCATTTGCAAATTAGTCAAATTCAAAACCAAAAACGGACTGTCGTCTGCTCAAATTGTGCATGTTGCATATGGCGAATGTAAAACGGCATGATCACCTCAAATGATTGCACTTGCGATTTCAAATTCTGCATCTGTTAAATTGGCGTTTATGAAGAACACGCGTGCATACACGTACACCGACACTGATGACATTCATTCCCCGAACAACAACTGAACTGTTGTGACAAAGAAGAAAAAAAATGTGGCGCGAAGCACAAGTATGCAATTGATGGCAATTTGTTCACACATTTTATATCACCCAACATAGCCTAATGATCGAATCGGTTATTATGCATGCGATTTGTGCGTATACTTCTATCGTAAATACTAAAGTCATTGCGACTGGTTTCCATTCAATTTTATGATTCGGTTTTTTTCTCGTTCGTCTCACTCGTTCATATTGTAAAATGTTTCATGAATATTCATTGGCGCTGTAATGCTGTCGTTTTTTTTCTTCTTATGTGTGTATGTGATCTTTATGGAATAGTTGTCGACAAATTGAAGACGAATTTTTCGCCTAACGTCGACCATTTTTATTTCTTCTTCTAAATGTTAAATATGGTTGATCGATACTAATTTCATCGCGCAATCGTTCTTTATTTATTCTAATGATTCACACCTCTTTTTTTCGTACTGTCTCAATTTGCGACACCAAAATCTGTATGCTGTTTATCGGTGTGAGTTTTTGCAGCTTTGAGTTGAACGTTTCATTTTTATCGTTTTATATCAATTGGTAATTGAGCTCAATGCGTGTTTACCTAGCCGGATGCAAAAACACACTAATCCCCCGAATGTTATTTGTCACGGAATTTTTTTTTATGATAAATCGCTGTAATGAGAATATTGCGCAAATGTTGTTTTTTTCTTGGGAAAATTTGCTATGACGTCATATTCGTTCTAATTTCCAATGTTTCTGACCGAAGCATTTTGACCCAATCGCAATGATGAAACATTCTTTCATCGGCGGCGGCAGCCGCACAAAAGAGATGATGCCGAGATAACATCGCCTCATTTGATAAACCGAAATTATCTCCAAATTCTGAGGGCCGAATAAATCATGCCAACTTATAAAGAGATCAGGTGAAAAAAAAAAAAACAAGATAGAGGTAGAAAGAACAAGAACATGACGTGTCGCATTTGCAGTTATTGCATCAAAAAATTTGAAGACATGATAAAAAAAATGAGATCATGAAAGAATATCGAAATCGAACACATTCATAAACTCTGAGAGAGAGAAAGGGAGAATGAAACACCGGGGAAGAAAGAGTTGTACTTTTCCATCGGATGGGTAATATATTCTTCTCTGTGGTTCTCTGCTCTGATGGATTTTGCCACATACTCATTCATCAAAATCGAGAAACTTCTTTTGTCTCGCGTCTCAATAATCGTTGAATAGTTCCACCGTCGTTCAAGTTTTCCGTGGCTCAAACAAAATGTGCCTCTCTTATCATATACACTGAATGGAATGTATCAGAAAAACAATAACAAGATAACGAACTCCAATGTATACCGAATCTTTTTTTTATCATTTTAATTCGAATGAAACGATTCAAATGAACGTAATCTAGACAACAAACAGTACAATGGATGACATCGACGGTGCAAGCCCCATCTGACTAATGTTTCTTTACGCTGGTGAACACAGAAAACGAAAAAAAAAAAACAGACACAAATCAAGCACCTTCACATCGAAATCGAGACGATGTAAACAACGCACAATCATACGGAAATTTAATCGAAATATCTGGTCATGAGTGATTTCGCGGCGGCAATTCAGTTCATGATTCATTCAGCGGAAATAATCGTGTGTGCACTTGTTACATTACAAAGTACTCGCAATGATTTTTCGCAATAATTCAGTCTAGAAGAGTGTGATTATAAATCTGTCGGCTGAGCAATAACGACAGCGGCGGTGCATTGCACCGTGTACCCAGTTCATGGCTATACTTCAATCAAATTATATATTGCGATATTGATAGTGGATATGCGACCGTCGATTAAAACTGTCAGAATAGTTCTTTTGAACAGATCATTTCTTCATTCATAATTTTTTTACAATTATACAGATGAGGAAAGTCCCTTTTGGAATGTGATTAATTTTCCATATCTTTTAGAAATTCACTATGTCTGTTTCGATGGCAAAATATTCGAACGGAATCAAGGCGATTACAAAAACTCAACATTTTTCTAATTCTCTGAATATTTCGGAGCAAAGAATGAGATAATTGCAGAAAATGTGCGTCGATTTCATTTGTATGAGCGAATTGAATCTTTTTTTCTTTCTTCTGAACCGTTTCTACGCTGATAATGAGCTTACACCCAAAATGACTAATGTCGTAATGCTCAACCTCCCCCAGAGAATGATGAGAACTCGCGCTTTTGTAAGCCTATCCTCCCCTCTTCCTCGTTCAAATTCCTCGAAAAAACCGTGAATTACCATTCAACTAGTACTACGTCAACAACTAGTGGAAATTTTTCCCGAATGAACAACGCAAAAAACAACACAACAAATGTTTTGATTTGTAAAATGCCGGCCATTTAGAGTCATGTGTGTACAAACGATGAGCATCGCAGCTGGAACAAAATTTCTTTTGAAAATGGAGGCAACATCGCATAGTGTCAAAAGTTATCTCGGCTGACAGTCCAAGTGCGGTATGATGATGCCAACTTGTACGGCTGCTTCTTTTTTTTTTGATAATGAGTAGAAATTGTCATCATTTCGGAACGAAAACGAGAAAAGGCAGTCAATGCTGTGAGAAAGCGCTTGAACCGTTTATTTTTTATTCTTATTTCCTCTGTAACCATGACATTCTTAAACTTGGGGTTTAATGTTGAACTGTACACACACGCTGACATCTGCTTTTGCGATGAACTTTATCCCATTCGTATATGCCAACTATATTTGAATGTATTGATTATGACACTTTAGTATAAAAGTAAACTCCATACTATTGTGTGTGTAGAAAAAGAAAAACAAATCGAATGTAAACAATTTAAGTCTATTTTGTGTATTTGAAGCGAATATTTATATTATTCTTTCTTTTTTGTTTCATTTCAGAAATGTTCGGGACAAGGCATTTTGTCACATTTATGCTGTTCCTCGGCATGGCCAATGCGTATGTGATGCGAACAAATATGTCCGTTGCCATTGTTGCAATGGTGAATCACACAGCCATCGAACGTGGACACAAAGACGTGGAAGACGATGAATGCCCAAATTATATCAACACAACCGTACATGTAAGCTACTTAACATTGGTTTTAATCTAGCCTCAGTATTTGTCTGGAAAATCCAATTTTAAGCCATATATTTAACGCACTTCAATATTTATTATGCTTAAATATACTAACACGCACTTTGCGCGCGCATTCGAGGAAACCGATGACTGCATTGGGCAAACACACAAAACACATACACTGAACCAACCTAACCAAAGTGAGAACATTTTGAAAATCGATAGACACAACTGAAGAAGAAGAATAAAACTCGAATATACATATATACGAATATAATTCTGATTACATTGTGATATGACTTTGTTCAAGGTGAACAAATAGTCTCTTTCTCTCTCTCTCTCTCTCTCTCTCGCTCTCTCTCTCTCACACACACACATAGACAAATAAAGAATCGCGTTCGCGAAACTAACGGCGAGCTTATACGATTGGCCATTTCATATACTTCTTCTTCATATCGTGATAGCACACAGTCGAATTTAAAACAAATTCAGTATACAGCAGAAGAAAAGTGAGGCAAAAACAATACATTCATGCCATTTCAACGTTGCCAGTTTGAAATGAATTTCTTATTGTTTTTTTTTTTCGAGAGAATTGCCAGAGCGCGCGATTGTTTGCTTTAGATCTTCATATATATTGCTCGTAATGACAAGTCAACAGGCATTCAGCAGGCACAAAAAGAACAATTGGCAAACACTTAACGTGACGTAACGTGAAGAGTTGCAATGCGAGCGCGAGAACGCATCGCATTACTGTCGCCAGTTGCTGCGGTTGCAACTGATATATTGAACAGAGTACAGTTGAGTAAACACACACACGCACACATATATACACCAGATACCTTCTTCGTTGCTCTGTTTAGTTTTGTTTTTTCCGTCGGGTTTCATAAGCGGAGCACAAATCAGAGTCAGACGACACAAAATGAATGGGTTGCGATGAAAATAAATCCAAATTTAATCCGAAGTGGTAGACTCATTCATTCCGAATCAAGAAGTTGAATCAGCTGAAACTGATCCATATTCGTTCCACACATTTTTCTTAAATGAACAATGAACTCATGGAATTTTTTATCTCGTAAACTGAAGAACGCATTCTGAGCCCTGATTTTGACAGTTGTATTTATCGAACTTTTATTTAACTTTCACATGCTGAAAACAAACCGAGATAAGAATAATGTGTCATATAGCGAACAAAATAAAAACTATTGTGCTCTTTGAACACATTCGATATCCATTCTATGAAACCAAACAAAAAAAATATAGCGAAACAATTGATATGATTCACTGAGAATAAAAGTAACTAATTAAATGTTCGCCAGTCCAACCGCAACACAAAACAGTCGCCGAACAAAGCGAAACATAGTTCTGTTACTCGATCAAGAAGGAACATGGGATTTTTATATACATTTAATAAGTTACTTTTATTCTCAGTGAATCATATGTCATTTTAAGGATGCCAACACATTGAGACGGGAATTAAATGAATCACATTTCAAATGTTTTCGATTTCAGCACGACGAAAAGGATGGCGAATTCGAATGGGATTCAGCAACGCAGGGCTACATTTTGTCATCATTTTTCTACGGTTATGTTCTCACACAAATTCCATTCGGAATGTTGGCGAAGCGATTTGGTGCATTGGGTTTTCTCGGATGGGGTATGCTCATCAATTCTGTGTTCGCCTTTGTAGTTCCGGTTGCCGCTCGTGAAGGTGGAGTTTATTGGCTGTGCGTTGTACGCTTTATTCAAGGCTTAGGTGAAGGACCAATTGTGCCATGTACGCATGCCATGTTGGCCAAATGGATTCCGCCCAACGAACGTTCACGAATGGGTGCTGCCGTTTATGCAGGTAAATTAGCCGTTCTAGTCAATGTTATTTTTATTTCTAATTTCTTTTTCTAATTTGTTTGTTGCAGGTGCACAATTCGGTACGATTATCTCAATGCCATTATCAGGTCTTCTATCAGCCTATGGATTTGATGGTGGTTGGCCATCAATCTTTTATGTGTTCGGTGCTGTTGGTGTGGTCTGGTCCGTGGCTTTCCTCATTTTCGTTTATGAAGATCCATCAACGCATCCAAGCATCGATGAAAAAGAAAAGAAATATATCAATAGTGCGCTATGGGGAACAACCAATGTAACCGTAAGTTCAATTGTTATTTTATTTTGGCTTTGTCCACGGCTGAAAATGGTGCACTGCTCGAATTATCATTGTTTATCGTACAATGGAAACTCGAACACCATATCGATTGTACAGAGATATCGATTTTCATGGTGGCGCATCGGTCACATTCTATTTAAATTTGCAACACAAATAAATTAACACACACACACACACACATAATGTTTTCCTCACAGCAATCACCTCCGGTGCCTTACTGGAAAATCATGACATCGCTGCCTTTCTATGCGATATTATTCGCACACATGGGTCAAAATTACGGCTATGAAACCTTGATGACTGAGTTACCAACATACATGAAACAAGTGCTTCGGTTTTCAATCAAAGAAGTAAGCATTGAACTTTGATTTATTGCACGGTTTACGGAAGGGAACTTGTTTAATCTCGGCAAAACTAACAAACATTTTATTTTGCTTACAGAATGGTGTATTGTCGGCGCTTCCATATTTGGCTATGTGGATATTCTCAATGTTCATTTCCGTTATTGCTGACTGGATGACATATTCTGAACGATTCTCACACACGAGCACTCGTAAAATTATAAATTCATTGGGTAAGATTCATTGAATTCTAAAAGAAATGAACGGGTGAGATTGAAAACAAGACATATTCTGGGAATATATATGAATGATACAAAAACGAATGATTTTTTTAAAGTGTAACACCGTGTGTTACATTTCAATAAAATTTGTTTTCCATGATTCACTTTGAAAAACGTTTGCGGCGATGTTTCGTTGCATTTATCTGATTTTCTTCGCATGTTTTGTTTCAATATATTTTTAATTGATGTTACAGTTCGATAAATTGTCGCAATTAGATAATATTATTAAGTTTTTGCATATGGAAATATCTCGAAAACGGCTGGGTAAAACGGCAAA